CGGCCCCGCCGCGCACGTGGGCAGCGGCCCAGGCCCCGCCCGGCGCGCGATTTTTTCTCTGGAACAACTTTTGCTTTAAAAATGTGTCAGGTGCTGTCGCCTGCGCGGTCGCTGGACTTCGGGCCTCGCCGGTCCTCCAGCCCAGCTGAGTCAGCGCTCATGCCTGGGCTGGGCAAGGGTTGCTGAATGGAGAACTCAAACAGGGAGGAGCTGCCAGGCGCCCGCGGCCCGGCGCTCGGAAGCTCCCGCCGGCGATCACGTGAAGCTGCGAGTTCAAGACCGGGCTGGGCGGCCTAGCGTGACCCGGTCCGGAAAACAAAAAGTAAGTAGGAGTAATAAATGAATGGGTTCCTCCCACAGCCATCTCCCCAGCAGCTTCGGGGTGCTTGACGCGGTGCCAACACCGACCATCCCAGGACACCCGGTGTCCGAAGCTTGTAGTTTGCACGAGAAATGAGAAGCGGAAATAAAGCCTTGTCGGGGTACCCAGGAGAGAAAAGTCTTCCCCAGGCCACTGTGCATACGTGTCATTGCTTGGCCTGTGTTTACCAACCAGAACAAGGGCTGGAACGTGGTAGGTGCTCTTACTGGTAAAAGCATGAATCCAAAGAGCAGGACTCGGTGGGATGCTGTACGGTCTGCAGTCTTGGGACCGCGCTGGGTTGGTGGTACCCAAGAGCACACCAGACTTGCAGAAAAAGCATACTCCGGAGGAAGCTGAGGCATGCCTGCTCCAGAGCCAGCGGTTCCATGTGCAATTTTCCTCTGATAGTTCCTGAATACTGTTGCCACGGTGATAATGACCTCCGTGTCATTATCTATCCACCAACAGTAAGAGAAGCTTTGCAGTCGCGATATTGTTTGGCAGACAGAGTGGTTTCTGTTGGACACTAAGTACTGCTACAAATTATTTTTTTAACCTTTGAGTTATTTTTTAAATAATGCTGGAGGTAGTTTGTTTGTTTTGGGGGAAGGCTCAAGTCTAAAACCGGAAAATCAGCACATGTCAACTTGTGAGTCTTCGAGATAATCATTCAGCATGAAACTTACTAATAAACTTAGGACACTACCGGGAAGTGCTCTTTATTGTCATCTTATAACCCCCTCGATATTATTGATGCTTGCTAATTTTCTAATGTGGGATCCAAAATTAGAATCTTTGTTTGGGGCTGAGTTGTAGTTCATGCTTGACCCTGGGTTCAATCCCCAGCACTGGAAAAAAAAAAAGAAAAGAAAAGAAATAATTTTTTTTTGTTTGTTTTACAGATCCATTAATTCCGGATAAGTCAGAGGAAGGAGCATCATGGGAAGAAATATATAGAAAATGCTGTTAACGCTGAGGTGACTGTTGTTTCAAAGTCGGAAGGTGTCCTTGACAATACAGAATGTATTAATTTCCTTCCAAAATCAACTTTTATTCATGTATATGTTGGAGTAAGTTTCTTATTTAAAAAAATTTGACAATTTGTTCCTGAAAACCTACATTGTTTTTTATTTAAACTGTCTTAATTCTGTTTTTGTGTTGACTGAGAGAGGGAGAAGAATTCACAAACTGTGTTCTGAGGATCTGAGACAGAGTAGTAATGGGAACATATATGTAGACCACACACACTCTGTGTTTTCATATATTTATATATTTTTATATAAACATTATTCTATCCCTAAACTAGTGTGTAATGTTGTCTTCTGAAGAACATTTGTCCTTTTTAGTTGTCAGATGTTACTAAGTTGAGAATGCAGCTATCATTAAAAATTAAAAGTAATCCTTGAGCAGGAAGAGTACAAAGTCTATGTTTTTCAAAATTATAGTGGAGCTGTTGTGTCTTGTAGATAGGAAGACACGTGACATACCAAGGATCTATGGGTGTTCTTTCAAGGAGCTGAGATGGATGCCTTTGATAGAGTGACCAAGGGCAAGAAAGCAATTTAAGGGCTGGGGATGTGTCTCAATTGGTAGCGCGCTCCCCTGGCATGCGTGTGGCCCGGGTTCGATCCTCAGCACCACATACCAACAAAGATGTTGTGTCCGCCGAAAACTAAAAAATAAATATTAAAAAATTCTCTTTCTCTCTCTCTTAAAAAAAAAGAAAGAAATTTAAATCTCTAAACCAGAAAAAAAAATTGAAACAGTATATCTAAATTTAAGTCCTTAAGGGTTTCAAGATATGGCTCAGTGGAAGAACACTTTCTTAGCATATGCAAGTTTTATCCTTAGCTTCACAAAAGGCAATAATAAAGATACATTGAAACTTTTAGTAAAACACAACCTAAAATACAATGAAGTATGGCATCTATTAGCTGGTTCTGTTTGTGACTTAATTCCCTTGGAGTATTAGCACCAAAAAACAAAAAGAACGTTTAAACTTTTATACATGATTCACTATTTTGATTTTGAGATTTTTCTTTAGAAATTTTATAACAAAACTTGTTAGAAATTTGCTGTTGTGTTGTTGAGCGTTTTGAACAAGTAAGTCACCTGTGTCTGCCAGTTTGTGTTCTCTCCCTGTGGGTTTAGTTTGTTTTGTGAAACCAGGGCCTCACCCATGCTCGGCAAGCTGTCACCCAGATCCTAAGGTTCTCATGATTTCCAAATTTCCCCACACCCAGTGGGCATTAATGAGCAGTGAGGAGAATCCTAGGATTAAACCCCAAGTTCCCCACACCTTGTAAACATGCTGACTCTGACACTCCAAAAATGTTTCTCCCTATCCTTTCAAACAGATATGGCTGCATGTATGTGGTGAATATCCTCATTTGCATCCGCCTTTCCAAAAGCAGCTTCACCACTGAAATCATAGTGGAAACCTGTAGCCCCTTTTTCTCTCCCAGTCCTTGATGAAGAGCTAGAGTTGGGGTTGCTGAGCTTGCAAGGTGACTGGGTGACAGGTGACATATTGTCGGAACATTTAGCAGGTAGCTCTTCCCCTTCCCTTGCTCTGGGAGCCAGTGCTGTGTTCTTGATTCTTCAACAATGACCAGCTTTTAGAGGAGAAGGAGGTGAGTTTCATAAGAAAATGGGACACAGAAGTGCTCTCCTAGCTGGCTAGACCTTTCTGCCAGAATCCTAAGAGAAAAGTGGCTGCTTGGGTTACACAAGGGGTGGAGCCACCGCACATTCCTGAGCTAAAATAGCATTTACGACCCAGAGTTTGTGGTTCTGAGCTGGAACCTGAAACCTTTCTGTGGAGCTATTATCCAGTAATTTTAGAACCTCACGCACTGCATCCCTGGAATTCACTTGATTCCCTGAACCAAACATATATATGTGAGAGATGAGTGCAAAGCCAGACTGCCCAGAGAATTTTTCTAATTCCCACTGCAGATCTAGAGATGCCTTTTGGTTTTGACTACATCTATCTGACAAGGCAGCTGGTTCATAAATACTCTCTGGCCGTGGGAATGGACTTCAATTTACTAATCCCTGTTGCCCACACTCTGGGGACCCAGCCTACAGCCAGGAAGGCAGGCTTCATTAGGGCCAGCTTCCACGGTGGCTCACAGGTCCTCACTCCACTTCTTCTGCCCTCTAAGGAGAGAAGATGTGCCGCAGATGGGCTTAGGTCAGTGCAGACTAGTGCTGAAGAAATGGGGCGCATTTAGAAAATCCTGAGAGCCATAGTAGGACCTGTTCCTGCCCTGGGATTTGGAGTGTGGGATATGGCGCTGGGTTCCAATCCTGAACATCATTAAATACTCAGAAGTTCTGATTTTCCTCGGATTTTTCCACACCTCCCATTTCACCTTCCTGGATTTTTGAAAAAATATACTTATGATATCTGTTGAAGATTATACATATTTCAAGATTTCTTTATCTAAGGCAGCAGAGTTTTAAGGCCTCTATTGCACTGTGTTCCTAAATGCTTCCCTCAACTTGATATTATCTTGTGTATATATTCTGATTTTTATTTTTAAAACAGCTTTTGTGTACATTAATCCACTTGAACCTTACATCAAACCTAGGATAATGATTCTTAGGCATTTTAGTCTCTAGATTCTGTTCTCTTTTTAATATGTATTTATAACATCTTGTTGATAGATTCTGCCACTGTGCTCCTCTGTACATTTTGTTTTCACATGCAATCTCCCCACCCCCATACTGTGGATTGTACTCAAGCCTGCACTACCACTGAGCTGCACTGTCGGCCCTTTTTATTTGAGACACCCTTGCCAAGTTGCTGAGGCTGGCCTTGAACTTGCTATCCCCTGCCTCAGCCTCCCAGGTAGCTGTGATTCCAGATGTGTGCCACCAACCTGGCTACATGGAATTTGCATTTTTGTGCTGAATCAGAATCACCAGCAAGTCCTACAGAAAACTGACTATGTGATTGATATATATATGCATATATAAGTACTGGATGATTTGTGCTTTGTAAAATTACAGTGATGATAATTTCAGTGCAGTTAATAAAGCTAACCCTTAATTCTCCACCTCTGAAAGTAGTGTTCCCTTTTTCTTACCAAGGACCAAACTACTTGCTCTTGCCGTTTGCCAACACGCATCTGTTGGTGGTGGTTCTACTGAGAACCTTGTTTTATTCCAAGAGAAAGAGCTCAAATCAGACCTTCTGTAAGGTTGTATTAAGAATTAAATGGGAAGCATAACACTCCTTAGGCCTTTTAATTAAATGTGATGAAAGAACCGGCTTTTCCTCCCTTCCTGTGGAAGGAGCAGTGCTAATGCTTTGCATTATGTGCTTCTTTTTTTTTTTTTTTCTTTTTTACCAGCAGATAGTTCTGTGACTCATATTCCAAAGATTTCTGACAAGGTGCCTAGACCACAGTAGGAGAAGCCGTTGTGCTGGGAAGATGAGTCTGTCAGCAGAAGCCTTCA